CTACCTTGTGGGAACTGCACATCCACCGTTACCCAGATGAGGGCTACAGGGAGAAAACCCCAATCCAACACCACTCTGTACAGCAGTAAGCTGCTCCACGTGGCTTTGTACCCTGATAATACTAGACCTTTCTTTCAACCACCTGAACAGCTGCTTAATTCCTGCCAAAAGAGCAATCCTAAATGAATAGTGTTAAAGCAATGTAATTATTTTGTTTGGAAAAACAGACTATTGTTGGCCCAATGCAGTTCACAGTCTTGAGCTCTGAATCTGCAAATATTCACACATGTGATTTAAATCACATCGACTTGCAGTGCGTGCACATGAAGATCCATGCAGGATTAGAACTTGATCGGTGCTTGTCGTAACGTCCTTTGACATCATCCGTCATGCTGAGGGAAATTTTAAAATTAGCTCCATTGGATCAGCACAATTAACTTTGGTTAACTTCACTGCTACCTCTAGATAGTGGTTTGTAAAGTACACCTTGCTCCTCTCTGAAGTGCTTTCATTTATTGTCGTGAAAGTGTGACTTTGTGTAGGCACCACCCCGGAAAAGCTTTCAATTTACCTGTCAGTCAACGTGTGTGTCTGCCACGTGGAGTTTTATCATTGAAAATGTTATTAAAATAAAGGTGTATTGTGTCAGTTGTGTAAATGAATCCCTTATTTTGCCTTCAACGTGGCCATAACACAAGTCCTCTGGGGTGTCCTGCCCCTCGTATATAAATTAATGTACTTGAAACTACACAGAGTATGCAGTTGTACATATATCTGCATGAGAATATGTAAATCTGACACCTGTATTACCAAGGCTCAAACAACATACGAGCCTTTTTTTTTTTTTTGAGCTTTTTCCAACTCATCTGCTTCTACCAGGACTATGAAAACAAAGGCAGATGGCAAGGGTCCTGCCTAATGCACAGCCCAGGCAATATTTGTGCTTGCTTTTAATATTCGTTCCCATGGTTCATGCACTATGTCATATGATATGGCTAATGTGTGATATTTTTAATGTTCACATTCTTTTACAGCTTTTTTCTAACAGAGAAAATAATGTCACCAGTTTACCGAGTTTACCAGAAAAGTGAAACTTGGCTACCAAATCATTCTTCCACATCTCCAAGAAATATAAATACACATTTTCTCAATTAAAAAGCTGAGATTCTTATGTGCTTATATAGTACCAGCAGCTGAAACTTTCAGAAAAGTACCAAGAATGCAAGAATTGCAACAAAGCATTAGGAATTGGCCAAAATTGTCCATTTTATGTGAAATGAGGTGGTGGCTTCAGCCTAGCTCTTACAGCACACACATCCGTACAAAAGCCACTTCCCAGCTGCCCTAACAAAGGAGGCAGCGACCGAAAGGGCATGAAGGATCAATCAGCCGGCCATCGCTTGGCACAGGCCTGTCACCTGGAACAGGGCACAGCAGGCAGCAGGTCAGCAG